TACATCATCATCATCATCATCATCATCATCATCATCATCATCATCATCATCATCATCATCATCATCATCATCATCATCATCATCATCGTTGTGGTCGTCGTCGTCGTCGTCGTCATTACTGGCGGTTGACGTATGGAGTGGCGTATGGAGTGACCCGAATATCAATCATAAGCTATCCACGTACACACCAGGTATTTATATTACATTATTACAAACACGACACACGCATCTATGGTGCCGTAGCCAGCCAGCAAGGCGCTTCGCTATTACAGAAATGACAAACGTTCGATTTTTATCATAATTTTTTTTTTCAAACCGAGTATCTCTGTCTGATTTTTAATTTTTTCTTCTTCTTATTAATAGAATGCCTCTCAACTCTCAGTCCAGTCTGACCACGACAGAAAGGGTAGAAACATGAGCTCGCCTCTTATCAAATCACGATAACATAAATTGTTTCGTCGAGAGTGTAAAATATCAACAATGACATTTATTGACTGTACGTCAAATTTGAGGCAAGGCCAGTTCAATCTACTTACCCAATACCGATGTCCGTCCCCTCCAGAGATACTGAGAGATTCGGCCTGCCCCATGATGACTTTCCACCCTTTGTTTGACCTGTCACATAGACATGAAGGAAAGGGTGTTAACCTGGGCTTTGGTCATTATTCACTACTGGTATTATTAATGGGAATATAAATAGATTCCATTAGACACACAATGTTTACTTACAATATGCGCTGATACGCTTGAGCGCGTTAGCAAATATACACAGATGCACACACACATATACACACACATATGCACATACACACGCGTATACATACATTAACACATATGTATACACACATTTATTCATATATAAACACACAGAAAAAGTGCTATAAAATTCTTGCATGATTGTATATTATAGCCAAAGACTCAAAGATTGCTACTTTGGCCTTCTGCAAACATTATTTTTGTAAAAATCTTGTACAACAAGGCTATTCCATGAAAAACGCAACAATGGCAGTGATACATGTAACGCAGGGATGATGTGCTGAAAAATTGTCTGGGTAGTGATAGAGCCATTCTTTATTCTTTTGTGACAGCAGACCCCCCCAAAAAATTTTTTTTAAAAAATAAACATTAATAAATAAATAAAAAATAATGTTTTAAAACCAAGAAGGGAACACAGAAATAAAGAATGGCTCTATAGCTTTTTTCAGCAGTCATTGTCCTCTGTATTTCATATTGCGTCACAGCAATTTCTTTTATCACGGAATGACCCTGTAGTAGAAGCGACAAGGAGTTCCGAGTCAACACTTTATGGCTTTAGCACCACTCAGCACAGACGCAGCCAGTCCCATGCAAACTGACATGGTTTTACTGATAAAATTTGGTTCATCTTTTTTTAGGCAAAGCTTAATACGAAACAACAAGAACTTTACATATACATACAAACAAAACAGAACACCTAAATAACGGAGTCTCCAAATACATGTATCTGGAATACAACGTAATGCTCTGATAAGTCGGAAAGAAATGTGAAAGAAGTGTGAAAGCAATAGATTATAATGTCTATAATATAATAAGTATATTTTTTGATACCGGTAGTATTATCATGTCGACAGTGTATAGGCCTACGCGTGTTTTCCTACCAATACATTAATAAATGAAGGAAGGAATGGATGAATGAATGAATGAAAGAATGAAAGAATAAATGAAGGAAGGAATGGATGAATGAATGAATGAAAGAATGAAAGAATAAATGAATGAATGAATGAATGAATGAATGAATGAATGAATGAATGAATGAATGAATGAATGAATGATGTGAATTGGGGAGTGGCAGGAGATCCCAGGAGAGTCTTCAGAAGTAAACACCCCCAGCCGCATTTTTACCTCCCATGACTCGCTTCCTTAGCTCCAATCAACCAAACCCATATATTAAAAGACCCAATTACAGCCTCTCTCTACTCCATTGACAACATTCCTAGCGGCCAGTGAGTGGACCAGTAGGTCCTATCTGTGTGATTCCTTTGTTCTCTTGATTCTGAGCGAAGATAGAGACTTGTTTGCTCAGCAGTGGCAATAAAGTTATATA